GAGGAGGAGGAGTTGGAGGAGGAGGAGTTGGAGGAGGAGATTACAACCTTACTACTGCAGCACCAATGCCATGAACTGATCCTAGTTGTGTGTCTTCTCCTTGCCCAGGTCTCAGACTTACAATGCCCTTGAAATCAACCTCTTGTTGACCGTCGAAGAGGGAAAAACAATTGAATGGATTTTTATCGAAACCGAAGCTTTTACAGGTAAGTAAGCGGGAGGGTCTTGCTTCCATGTTTCTGTGAAAATAAGACCCTGTCTTATTTTATTTTATTTTTTGCCACCAAAAAAGGCACCAGGTCTGATTTTGGGGGGATGTCATCCACTGACTAACCTCACTTGTGTGCATCTCCCCCAGCCTCCTTTTCCCTGTCAGAGGCCTTCAGGAACTTCTTCTTCTGCAGCCAGCAAGGCTTTCCTGAAGGCCTCTGCAGCCGATAACAGAGTTGTGGATCGATCCAGAGCTTTATTTTCAGCTACAGAGGCCTTCAGGAAAGCCTTGCCAGCCTTGCCAGCTGCAGAAATAGCCCAACAAGGAAGGTGTCGGTGTGTGTGAAGCCTGGCTACCGCTGTCCAAAGATAAGTAGTAGGGCAATTCCATCCCCCCACATTCCCACCCTAGCTTAATTTTTACCCGTGCACTCCGGAGTGCATGGGATCTTAATTAGGGCTTATTTTGGGGGCAAGGCTTATATTGGGTGTATGTGTTGGTGGGCCGCAGAGAAATCTCACCCCCAGAGCAACCTCCCCAAAGCAATTAATCCAGGCTGTGCAGAAACACAAGCTCACATGGCCCACGGGAACCCTCCCCGCCCACTCACTCCTTACCCGGCAAACTTGCCCACTAAACTGCTATTTTTTCTTTTTCCTACCATCAGCTGTTCTGCTGTGCCGGGAGATTTAGATTAGCTAGGAAGCAGGAAATGGTTGGATTTCTTGCTTTCTAGCTAGTCTTTTAGATCTTCGGCTCTGCTTTTAAGCGCAGCCTAACCTCTCTTAGGACTGAAGGTTCTATTATTCAGTGCAGACTCACAGCAAGCAAATTTGAGAGACTGAGCTAGCTGATGGCAGATAGATAGATCTCTGAATGATTCTGTGATTCTGTGGGCAACTCAATCTGCCCGCCTACTTTGCCTGATTTTGGGTAAAAGTTGCTCTTTTTTTATAAAAAAAATTCAATATTTATATAAATATTTATAATATTTACATACAAACCATGCCCAGCCAGTCACATGACCACTAAGCCACACCCACAAATTAGGCCACACCCACAGAACCAGTTAGTGGTCCCTGGGATTTAAAATTATGAGTTTGGTGGTCCCTGAAGTCCAAAAGGTTGGTGACCTCTGGACTAGAACACTTCCCGGGTCACTTTCCCACTTGGTTCTTCTCTTCTTCTGCTCTATCAAAATTCCCCTTTAGTTTTTTTTTGCAAGGGGTCCAAAACATTGAAGCATTCCTTGAGTTTCCATTAGCATCTCCTTATCTAATCTAGTCCTGAATTAGTTGATCTTCTGGTGGTCCAAAGACTTAGGAGCCATGCTCTTCATCGCAGCTCTCCTAGGTTCAGCTTTTTTGATTGGCCAGTTTTCAACACCAGATGTTCCAGATGGAAGAACCAGAATCGTGCCAATATACATCCCTTTGTCAGGGATGCAATATCTCTGCATTTTAATCATGCGTCGAGATTTTTCAAAAGTCTTTCTCCTAACTAGTAGGTGCGTTTTTTTCTTTTATTATTTTAGCAACTCTGACCCAATCTCTCTGGATTTTTGAGGCTGGGAAGATAAAACCTATTCCTACTCCTATTTTTTTTTCTCCGCCTCTTTGTGCTGGGTTTCATTATCTGCAGCATAATTGTATTTTTTTTTAATATGGAGGAGCTGATGGGCTATTGTATTCTCTCTCTCTTTTTTTAAAGTCATCCTTCTCTTCCTTGTTATCCGCAGCGTATTTGAGGAAGTTTCTCGCAGCCCTTTCAATTCCATTTTTCTCCCAGTCTAGTGGGCATCTCATCTCTTGTTAGAAATCAATAAATTAAATAGCATTTCGATTTCATTATACAGAAATTAAATAAATCAAGTGACGGATATAGCCCTTAACACACTCTTTCCCCAATTTTGAACCATTTACTTGCTCCTTATTCTCTTCTAACTACGGCTTCCTGGCCTCCGACAAATCCTTCCCCAGGCAAATAAAATAACTCAATAAACATTATCCAGAATTGGCTGTGATCTACTGAGCCAGAAGCCTCTATATGCAAGTAGTCCTCGACTTATAACCAAGCATTTAGTGACTGTGTGATGACGCGAGGCATGGCACAAAGGCCACACAGTCAGATAATCCGTAGGAGTCCCTTTATTAGCTCCAACTTTGCCCCCAATGTCATGGTTACCTTCTCGGCTGGAGAAAAACTCTCCCAGGAACAGCCTTTGGCTGCAGAGAATCAAGTCCAAAACATGGTCAACAAAAACTGTAACTAAGAGTCCAATCAAGGCAAAATGAGATGATTAGTTCGGCAGGGCAGGAGCAAGAATTCCAGACGTGAAGAAACGGCCGTAATTCAACACAGTTGGAAAGACTCCAGGAACGCAGATAAGCAAAATCAACACAAGATAAACTCATGTTTGCTCCCAGCAGCTGCCGCACACAGTTTGCATCTCTTTTAAATCTCATTCCCAAGTGTGGCTAATAAAGGGAATCAGGGCCCTTTCATCCCCCGTAAGCCATGCAACTCCCATTGCTCCCTTCTCCATTCCTCCCTGCGTGCCCTAGGATGAAGAGGGGGTGGGCCTGGGTCTTCCTCTGAACTCCCTCTCCCTTGTTCTACCTCTCCCCTGCTCTGTTCAGTCGGTCTTTGCCCTTCCCCAGTTTCCTCCACAGCCAACGGAGCCACACTCCCACCCCCTGTCAGCTATTTGTCTTCCTCTTTGGTTTCAGACTCCAACAGGGGCATGACAAGTTCATTTAGTGGCTGTTCAAAGTTACAACAGCAAAAAGTGGCTTATGACCATTTATCACACTTACGACGGTTGCAACATCCCCTTGGCCACGTGTTCAAAATTCAGATCTTTAGCAACTGCTCTGTACTTATGACGGTTGCAGAGTTTCAGGGACATGGGATCACCTTCTTGTAACTTTTCCAAGCCGGCTTCCAACAAGCAAAGTCAATAGGGTGGTGATGGCCAGATTCGCTTAACAACCAAATGATCAGATCAATCACAAGTGCAGTGATTGGGGCAAGAAAGGTTGTAAAATGGGGCAAACTTCATTTAGCAACTTTCTTGCTTAGCAACGAAAATATTGGGCGGATTTGCGGCCATAACAGCATAAGAGGATAGGGAAGGGACCCTTGGAGGTCTTCTAGTCCAACCCCCTTTTCAGGCAGGAGACCCTATCCCATTTGAGATAAGTCGTTGTCCTGAAAAACCTCCAGTGTTGGAGGAGTCACACAACTTCTGGTGGCCAGCTGTTCCACTGATTTATTGTTCTAACAGTCAGGAAATTCCTGCTTAATTCCAGGTTGCTTCTCTCCTTGATGAGTTTCCATCCGTTGTTTCTTGTCCCGCCCTCAGGGGCTTTGGAGAATAAGTTGACCCCCCTCTTCTTTGGGGCAGCCCCTCAAATATTGGAAGACCGCTATCATGTCTCCCCTGGTCCTTCTTTTCTTTAGACTAGACATACCCAGTTCCTGCAACCGTTCTTCATATGTCTTAGCCTGCAGTCCCCTAATAAGTCAAGGAGTACCTCTAATCAATAAGACCAAAATAAGGGTCTTCCCTGCCTCTTTTATCACTTACCAGATATTTGCAGGATGGTCTGGAATGCGTCTTCTGAATCCAGCCTCTGAATCTCCTTTATGGCATCATAGAATGCATGAGGGACCATCTAAATGCCAATGCAATCCTAACTTGCATTAATGGAAGGATACAATCGAGATCAAGGGAGGTACTAATACCACTCTATAAAGCCTTGGAAAGACCATGCTTAGAGTACTGCATCCAGTTTTGGTCACCACACTATGAAAAAAGAGGTTGAGACTGTAGAAAAAGTGCAGAGAAGAGCAACCAGGAGGATGAGGGGACTGGAGGCTAAAACATATGAAGAACGGTTGCAGGAACTGGGCCTGGCTAGTCTAGGGAAGAGGAGGACCAGGGGAGACATGATAGCAGTGTTTCAATATTTGAGGGGCTGCCACAGAGAGGAGGAAGGGGTCAAGCTATTTTCCAAAACATAAGAAAGAAAGAAAGAAAGAAAGAAAGAAAGAAAGAAAGAAAGAAAG